GATCAATAGGTGAAAAATACTGTAGATTTCTGGAATAAACTCTCGCCTTCTTATTGCCATTGAAGAAAAAAAAAGGGGAAAGGGGGGGGGGCTTATGCCTTACCCATTAATAGTGCTTGAACGGCCAAGGCAAGGTATCAAAAATATGTTGTCTCTGAGGCTACTCTTAAGATTTGTTTTAATATCCCCATTGAATTCAAATCTGCTGTAAAGACGGTATTAGGCACTATACCTTCGATATGGAAATCCACAGAGAGACTTCGCGAGTAGTCGCAAATTCGGCAGATACGTGGTTTTCCCTACGCAAACCGTATTCACGAGAGGAACAGATTGTTCTTGATGCGTTTTTTCTTTTTTTCATGGAAAAATTCGAGTGGATTTACATGCAGAAGATAGGTACCCATACCCTTCAAGTTTGAGTTAAATTTGGTCGTTTTTTCTATGCCTGCGTTTAAGTCTCCTAGTATTTCTCATCGGTACAATATACATATAAGCGAAAAATCCTTAAAATTTGGAACATGATGGTGTTTTTACGTGTTAGAGCTTTATACCCTCCCAGAATTGAGTTGAATTTGGGCGTTTTTTCTATGTTTGCGTTGAAGTCTCCAATATTTGAACGATTGTATCAACCAGAGCCGCGTTTGAGGGTTGTTTGAGAATGCAGTATTTTACAGTAGGTATATTACCTGGATGCAGTATTCATCAAAGAAGAAACTAAAGAGGTTTTGAGCATTTCATGTATTGCCCGGTGATGGATAAACTTGATAAAAAATTTGAAGCGTTTATTGGATTAATTCCAGAAACGGCAACTTGTATGCGTAGTAGTGTAAAGCGCCTCTCAATGCTTGTCTCACGTGTTGATTAAAGAAAAGGAATAGAGTGATTGAAGAGGTAGTAATGATAGTAAACAAAGGGCAAACTTTGCATCGTGCCTGATCTAGGAACGAGTTTCTCCTGCTACAAATAATATTAGGTGATGCGACTATTCGGGCTTGCAAGTGAGGCGTGCACTCGTGCAGTGTCCATAAAAATGAAGGCGCGCACGCCGCCTTTACTTCACTGAAGTTCGGCAATTTTCCTACTCCGTTTTTCATCACATATTTGCTACATTTTCATGATTTTCGAAAAGTTTCTAAAATCAGGTCGCTTAAAGTAAGAATATTTTTTCGTTGTTGTGGCTTACTATCAACATTTTGAGTACATGATGCAAGCGATAAGCTCCGTTCAATAATTTTGGGTTAAACATGGTTTGTTCATTGTACATGCTTTGGATTTTCACCTGCGTTAAAAATGAATACCCCATGAAACTTGGAGATACTCCAAGAAATACTTAAAGAATCAAAATATTTAGAAGTTAAAGAGACACTTAGAAAAGTAAAAATTTACATACGATAGATACTCTCATTTTAATGCCGGCATTTTCATACGTAATGCCGTGACAATACCTCTGCCTTTACAGACTTTTGCGGGAAGAAACATTGTAATTTTTCTATTCTCTCTCTCTTTCATTTGCTTTGCTTACCTTAAAAGACGCTACATCCTCCGCATCTTTGTTGTGTATTAAATCTAAACCCACATTGGAGGGTCGATTTTGCTGGACGTTCCTATTTCGTTCAAAAGCATTGTCCTTTGAGTCATCCCCTTGCCCGTAGTCGAAACACGATACGATGGCTACTGAAGCCAGATAGTAGATCGAGAGAATCTCGGAACAACCTAATGTCATTTTGCTGCAAAAGAGAAAGGAGAAAAATATTTTAGGGGACACTGAAATCAGTCCACTCAGCAGGGATGATGTAGTGTCGCTGTTACACTTCCTCACAGCCTAATGCTAGTCTGCCTAATCTATTGTTACTTAATGTATACCTTCGTATGTCATGTTGATTTTAAAGTTCTACTGTAAATTCTTTGTAACGGACTTATCCGTTGGTACGTTGGTTTGGTCCGATCAATTTTTAATACGGAGCAAATGTTTAAAATAATTTGGCGCCCTCATATCAATGAACCTCAACTAATTTTCACATTCACTTTGAAACTTATTCTAACGACGCGGATATGAAAACGTATAGGTTCGGATTTATTATTTCGTCTGACCAGCGATCTCTTTTTCGGAATTTAGGTATGCCCGATTTTGTTAAGACAAAAGTAGGATTTTAATCGATAAAACCAAATGAATCCTGTTTAAAGTTAGTGAGAAAAGTGCCGCGAATTTAAAAAATAAAAGTGGTTATTACCTCGGAAAATATGTGTCGTGCTAGTTCTTGACCCCTGACTAAGGGTGGTGGACAAGTCCAAATAAAGTTTTGCTTTCATATCGCCACGAGTTCTGAAAAGAGGTTATTCCTTATCATTCGTCAGGCTAATCAAGATTGATAAGTTCTTTGAAGAGGTTAAAACATTGATTAAACAAGAGGGGATCCATGTCTCAATAGAGTGAACTTGGCAGTGATTAGGTAAATAGTTTCTCCTCTGACGTAAGAGGTTAACTGTATTTTGAGATAAAAGTCGCCTGTCGTCCGTTAAACTCCATGCTTATCGTGGTTTACGTGAAAATTAAGGTACTTTCCTACGTCAGGGAAGAGACGATTTTCCCTAAAAAATGGTGGAAAATAATATAAAAAGCGGTCTTTTGAGAGATTTTCCTCCATCCCACGATTTCGGGAAACCCCCAACAACTTTTAACCCCTGGAAAAAAGAGCGCAACTCTTGCCTCACCCCTCCCCCTCCCCCTCGAACGTTAGGTATTTTATGAATGACCCCCTTGGGATATCAAAAGCCCAATTTACTAACTTCCTTGGAGCTAGGTAGAATTTTCTCAAAGTTCTCAGACGCTGTCTGTATCAGCATTTTGCAATTTTTCAATAGCAGTCGGTTCTTCGAATCCATTCGAAGAGGAGATAGTATATTTTTTGGACCTAAAAGACAAAATCTGTGATGAGTCCCAACTTAATCGATGAAACTTATCACAGGCCAGCTCGACCATAACCGGTGCCCGCGACAGATCACCTAAAACTTCCTCGTTTTCAAAGGTTAATGTCACTATTTTAGTTATTCGAGCGTTGAGTGAGGATTAGCGACGGTCAAACAAGACCGGTCAGTGTGGGCACACCTCATCCAGCGTTTGTCGACGTTGTTCGAATGACGCTCGCAGTGGGAGCGCCGGCCGGCCGGCGAGGCGCCGCGCCGTGTCAGCGCTGTAGCCACTAGCCAGCCGAGGAACGATGAGAGGAAGGGAAGGGAGGTGGGAGTGTTTCAAATAATACCAATCGCGAAGCATCCAATAACTTTATTCCAATTGGCGATGAATACATCGTGGGCAAATTGCCGAGTAAATGAATTTTAACAGCCACGATGCGAGTTCTTCCAGCTTCGGGCATGAGAGGGTGGTGTCGTTTTTCGGATACTACCGTGCTAAGGAAGAACGCCGTATGAACATTCAAGAGTTGCCAAATTTCCCTTGATAAAACATGTATTTTTGACAACATTCATGCATATTTTTCCTTGAAATTTTCAGTTATTTTAGATTCAATTGCGTTTAAAATTGTCTGAAAATTTTGGAAAATAACATTCGCAACTTGTCCAGTAAATTTGGTTTTTATCGAAGGAAACTTGGCAACATCTGAAGGCTCATACGGCGTTCTTCCTTAGCACGGCAGCATAGGTGTGATATTTTTATGGAGACTGCCCCAAGCGCGGCGATGCGTGGTGCGCATTGGAGTGAGGGCAGGTTGCGCCGCGCCGGAGCGCCTTCAATTTCTCGGTAGGCAGCAGGGACATCCGCCGAGTTCGAATAGTTGTATCAACGCCTTAAGTATCGTACACGCGTCGAGGCGCATCCGCCTTCTCATATGTTGACAGAAAGAACTGTAGTTAACTCCTTTTTTCTCTCTTTTTTTTCTTTATTCTTTGGCTCTAACTTTCTTCCTTACTGTTTCTTTTATTTTTCTGGTGCTATTATTTCTATACATTAAAATTTTAACGACTCTTTTGTAAAACTTCCGCGAAATTCGCCAAGGATTTTGGTGTAACAAGCGATGTTTGGAAGTCACTTTCGTGTTTATCCTTTTAACATACGGAACCAGGAGTTTCACCGGCGGGCTGATTATTGAAATTGATAGAAAAAGCTATAGACAAAGAAGACAAATAGAAAATGGAGCAATCTTACAACGGTGGTAGCGGGTGGTTGTAATGTATGAAAGAGGTAAGTAAGAGACTAACTAACCCCAACCCACCACAGACCCTATTAATAGTTTATCATTTTCTCCCTTTATCTACAATAACTCTTAATCTAACAAACCCCTTCCATTGGATTGCTTCATTTTTCCTTTATGTCTTCTTTGTCAAAATTTTCAATAATTAGTCCGCAAAACCGTTAGAATCTAGCAGTTCAGCCATAATTGTACTGCATTTTACAATTAGGAACCACAATTTTTTGTTCAGTTTACACGGAAAAAAAGTTGGGTCGCGTTTACTGTACTCTGGCTAAAAAACGGCACAACCAGAGAGTGCGGTAACTTTCACCAAAATTATTGCCACAATGAGGAAAAATCTTGTTACTTTTACGATAATTTTGATGAAAGTCCTATACTCTCTGGTTATGTCCCGTTTATAAACCAGAATATGGCGATTGCAACCTAATTCTTTTCCTTATAAGAACAACGTATGTACCATTAGGTCCCCCATGCACATATGTTTTTACAGATTAGCCGGAAATTGTAGTTGCCAATTGGACCGAGTTCATCAGAAAGGAACCAACCCACATTTTCGAAAAAATTGAGTTAAGAATGTTTTTGAGTTCCTCTAGTTGTATATTTTCCCCTGCCACAAACCAAAAGTCGAAAGAAAAAGATAAGTTTGTGAAAAGAGAGGTTAAATTTTACAGTCTACACTGAGTCTTATGGAGGAATACAACTGCAAACCTCTTTTTCTCAGTTTCAACGTGATGTGGGTTGGTTCCTTTCTGATAAACTCGGTCCAATTGCAAAATGTAGTCCAATTGTGCAACGGGAATGGCAACGATGGACTCATCTCCGTCGGCGGCAGTGAACCCGCTCCTTGGGCAGCGGTGGGTGTCACTGAGCGCCACACTGTCACCGTATCCCGTTGTCCAGTGCCGGAGCCGGAGCACACCTTCCTCTGCCAAAGCTCCCGCGAGCCCCGCGAGAGAGGAGCTTGGAGCTTGGGGTCGGGCGCGTCGCGTCGCGTCCGGGCCGCGTCATTCCGCATGTGTTGATTCTGTGCCGCGCTCTCTCGTCCGAGATTTCCCAGCCATGCTCCTTCCGTCTCTCCTCGGAGCCCTCGCTTCCCTCCTTCTCCTTCAGCTCGTCGGTAAGTCATCCCTTTCCTTTCGCTTCATTAACCCGCTTCGTCTGTTTAATAGATATGTCGCACATTGGACCGAGTCGATAGGAGAAGTCGGACAGAGACTGGAAACCTTGAAAGCTTATATTTTTGAAAATATGAAACAGAAAAGTTTAAGAGTGGTTCCATTAGTTTTTTCGTGAAATTTTCTATCAGAAACACCCCTTGAAATTGTATTGGTGATGGAATAAACATCGAAATTTGAAATTTTAGCCAAAAATGTCATGTCCGACTTCTTCTATTCGCTCGTTTCACTGTGTGTCGCAGGCAAATAGTAAAATCAGGTACTTTAACAAATGCCTAGGTGTTTCGTCAAATTCTGCAGGTGCACGGAGTTTTCTATGTTTATGATGTAGAATTCTCAATTTTTCAATGTTTTGAACAAGAATCTCGTTCAAATCAAGAATTTCACTGAAATTTCACCACTCAATCGACTGCAAAGAAATTTTAGAATTTGAAATTGGAGATATTTTGTTTTTCCCGAAACATTGCAAATTTTGAGATGAATGAACAATCAAGATCTGAAATCAATGAAGCGGCTTTAAAATGGTCCAAAATTATGCTGAGCTTTCTTTTCCACATTTTCAAAGGCTAAAATAATCGAAATTGAGCTACTGAATCGTCTTTCAAATCTAGTAGAGAATATTTGCCTATTTGCCTCGGCATTTCACAAAATGTCTGATTGGACTATAACTGCCCTGTGCGACACATACACATTTTTACGAAGCAGCCCGAAACAGTGGTAAAAGGAGCAAAACAAGGAAGGAGAACGGGAAACAAGGCTAACTCAAAACTTTTCGACTTCCGAGTAGCTCGACGGACTGTCGAAGCGTTTCGACAAAACGTTCAAGACGTTTCGACGCAAAACAGAGTCATTTTCAGTCGGAAAATAAATTCAAAATGAAAAAATATCGATGAAAAAACCCATAAAAAACCTGAGACCCACATGTTGGCTAGGTTAGGTCTCTCGGATCTCGGTCACCAACATGTAGGCTTCAGATTTTTTCATCGATATTTTTTCATTTTAACTTAGTAAAGGGAAAATAAAAGGGGGATACCTACACACAGAAAATAATTTAGTCAATATTGGCGTTCCATCTTTTTCTCCGCGTTGAAAATAAACTGTCGGAGTGGCATTTCTGTCTCTGCATTCGGCAACAGCAAATTATTTTAAAACGCCGTAGATTTAGTCGCTATTTTTGTTGTGGCACATCCTCACGATGATCCATTACATTATTGCGGAAATGGGTTAACCTGCCCGCGTTTACAAGAGAATCCTATCGTCCATTATATAGAACTTTCGTAGAAAGTCTCTTATGCAGGTATACCCCCCACCTCCTTCTTAGTTACGCCCAATTCGTTGTTCGTTTACCCTTGCGTTAAAGTCTCTGGGCTGTGTGGTGTCCGGGTTGGATGGTTTTGTCATTTATTCGTGAGTATTTTTACTATTTGTGAGTTCAGAGAAAAATCAGGCCAAACTAGAGCAAACATAGGTTTTGAGAAAATAGATGAGCTGGGAACCGTGAATGATCTCTATCAAATTTTAATTGATTCATTTTCAATTGAAGAAAATGAGCTCAACAAATGACATTTTTGGTCCTCTTGATGCCCATTTTCAATCCCAGGAATTATTGCCAAGACTGTGAGGTGATGCTGTACGGTATAACCTAGTGAGGTGCCTCAAATCCGTGATCAAGATAATGTTTTGCGTTTCCACAATCACAAGGCCCGGTGACTTAAACGCAAGGTTGAACGAACAACAAATACGATGTAATCAGGAAGAGGATAGGAGTGTACCTACAAAGAAGACTTTCTACGGAAGTGTAATAATGGACGATAAAGATTTTCATTATTTTACTGTATTTTTTTTTGTTTATTCGTTTTGTTCTTGTTTTTATTGTGTGTTTTCGACGCATTGAGCGTAGCAGAATGCACTGGAAAAAATACATTGGATCTAGAGTCCAGGCTCTTAAAACATCGACAAGAAAAAGTACTCTTGATTCAATCACAATCTAGTTTAAATCAAGAACCAAGCCTATTAATTTAAGCGGATCCCATTTTGATTCAAGCAAAAATCCGATTGAATCAAGAGTATTTTTTCTTGTCAATGTTTTAAAGAGTCTGGACTCTAGATCCAATGTGTTTTTTTTCCAGTGTGTTTATTTCGGTCGTTTTGCAACTTTGTTTTTAACATTGCTTCATTTTAATCTATTATTATTTATTATATTTATTTATATTATATTAATTATCATTTTAATTTTAATCTATTAATCATGGTGATCCCCTGACTTACTCTGATATTTTTTCCGTCAAAATATTTCAGGGGTCGATCATGCTTTCATGTTAATGCGTAAACAAAATTCAAATGAACTCTGACCGTTCAACTGACATAGCGGAAACTCACTCCAACACAGTCCAAAACGGACCATGTCGGTATTAACATGATCTCAACATGGTACCAACAGGGGCGGATCCAGTAATTTGGCAACACAGGATTTCCTCCATTTAAACCTGTGTTAAATAATCGATTCTTGTCGGAGCACCTGGCCCCTTCAAGAATCGATCCATTTCCAAAGGTTTAAATGGAGAAAAAACAATGTTGCCAGTTTGCTGGATCCGCCAATGGGTACCAACACTATAGTTATTGGCAGGGTGTCGATATCCCATTTCGATCGGGGAAACGCAGCTTTACTCCTTTGAAAATAACGCATCAAATAACATTTGTTCTCATTTGGTATGATTTATAGTCCTCTATGCCTTCGTGAGAGCCTGGGCGCAGCAAATTAATGAGGGAAAATTAGCTGCTCCTCTCTACCTACGCACTCTCTTTGTGTATGCTTGCATTCTTGCTTGACCTTAATGCTCTGCGTTTGTTCTGTTAATTTTTATTGTTTTCTATCGCACTTCCCTTCACGGCGGGTATCTCGCGATGTTTCCCTTGATGCTATTGACAATGGCTTGAACCAACATTGCCAAACTTATCCATCGACAGTAATGTAAAGCATATAGGTACGGATCATATTTTTTTTTCTTTCCGATTAATTTCATTAGCACCATCAAATTTTTCAGACCTGTATTTACAACGTTTCCAAATGATACGCCTCTTTTTATCATCGCAGATTCATTTTGAGTTTAACTAATTCTTACGATATCATGTGTGAAAAAGGCAATGGACGTTTAAATGGACAAAAAAGAACTTAACAAGAAAGAAGTTTAACTAATTGTTTTCATGTGTGAAAAAGGCAATAGACGCTTAAGGGGACAAAAAAGAACGCCCCCCCCCCAAAAAAAAATAAAATAAAACAAAAATAAATTTTCAATGTTTTTGAGCGATTGTTGCTCAAGCAAAACGTGGAATTTCGAGGTCAGAGATGCCGCTGACAGGTGAGAGAAAGTCGTGTTATGAATGCACGCATTGAATTTCCTAGAAGAAAAGAAAATAATAAAAAATAGAAAGAAAAACGGGGGAAATGAAATGGCGGAAATTTTGAGGAAAAGTTTGGAAGATAAATTGAACAATGAAACTTAATTCATTACCTCGGCATTTGAGTTCAAAAGTAATGGAATCAAAATCTGTTTAATTTTTGTGAACCAAGGATGATGCCTTCAGATCATAACAGCCAGTTACGCACGTTCGTGCAGCGTTCCTCGCACCTATCAAAATTTGTTACAAAACTTGTTTTAAATTTAGCAATTTAATGATAATTTGAGAAAATTGTGACCTGGTCTTTAGAAAATGACCTTATCTTCCAGAGGAAAATTTCTCTTAACTTTTTAACAAAAACTCAAACCAAGTGCTAAAATGTCACGTGCTCCGCGCAAGGCGCATCACTTTTCCAGTTTTCAGGATCAAACCTCCTCCAAAATTTTCTCCCGTCATGCAATGATACCAATAACTCAAACCCAAGTAGCTGTGATCGCGATAAATAGCGATTTTATCGGTTGGTCATCATGATTATTTCGGTGGCAATAAATCGAGATATTGTCGCATTAAAAATCGCGATATATGGCGATTAAATCGCAACAAATCGCAATTTTTGGTTCGATAAAATTCTGATCAATTTTTGTCGGTAAAATCGAGATTAAATCGCCATTTATCGCGATATTTTCGAAAATATCGCGATAAGTTGTCGGGCGATAAAAGCGCGATTTTATCGCGATAAGATCGAGGACACTCGCTCAGATGTTGATGATCCTGGCGATTTTATCGCCGATAAAATCGCAATATATAGCAATTTTTCCATTGAGGAATGCCACTTGGGAATTGAATTTTCAGAAGCCAAGATTCCTTTCCACAGATCCGGTCGCAATTTAATGCGAGACCCTCTCCATCATTTGGCAACCCCGACTACCCAGTGTCTTCACAGAATGTGGTCCAAATTGGCACTGTGTCCCTGCTCCCTGTTCGGAGGTTAATTCGCTCTCACGAGATGCTGTGAACGAATATCCATTCTAACTTCTATCAATCGATTCCAATTAGCCAATTACCCGCGAGCCCTTCGCGCCGCAGAACCCAATTCGACGGTTGCTTCACTCTTTTTTCACGTGAGCCCTGAAATGCACAAAGCTACATCGAAAACAGGGCTCATGTCTAGGTGTGTTTATGCTCTTTTGTCATCGAAGCGACGAATTCATTGCTCCTGGTTTACGTACTTCTGATTTCCGTTTCCGCCGCGAGCTTAGTGCCCGAAGATTAACCTCCATTGTCACGTGTGCCATTTACGTTCATGAATTACTCTTACGCGAAAAATCAATTACTGTGAAAAGATACGTCCTTTCCTTTAATTCCTCCACCGGTTAGTTCTACCTTGTCCTATTTTGTATTTACCCTTACGAATGTAAGTCCTCATCTCTGCAATCATGTCCATACCGTAGGTAAATGGATTACTTTGTTGTATGATGAGCGTGCGCATAAAACTCCTTCAAAATGACGAGTATGCAATTTCATGGTGGCTTTTTTTAAAATATTGGAGCCAATATAGACTTTTGTAGAGGATCCTATTTTGGAAGCATTTGTTCTTTGTGCTTAGTCACTCAAAAATTACGATGGACGCACCAGAAAAGTATGAGATTTTCTCCTCTCCGTACACTTCATGTAGAAAATTTATATGAATTTTTGAGCTTCCCGCGTGGAAATGATACCAATGGGGCTAGGGGTGCATAAGAAACAGAAGGGTAAAGGAAGAGCTATAAGACGTCGGAGGCGGTATTACTCGAAAAACCACCCAAGACGCTCCAAAACTCCATTGCCTTTCAGGCGTTTTTAAACTACCTGTGCCTATGTGACGTATTTGCTCAATGCAGTTTAGAAATACGGTCACATTGGCAAAATTGTCAAAGGAAAAACGTTCTATCAGGTCAATGCCAACCACAGGTGTAGCCGAGGGTCTTGGGGNGGGGGGGGGGGGGGGGGGGGGGAAGGCTGTTAGCTCCCTGGAAAAGTTGTGGTCGCACGTATAGCTTTCAATACTATTGACCTCCGTGAAGGATAAATCGTTTCCCGGCCCTTCCCCTCCTAAAATTTCCACGGGTCCGTTCATGAGGGCAACATCGAGACTATTTCAGTTTTAATTGGACTACATTTTGCAATTAGGAACTATGAATTCCGGCCCGGTGTAAAAACAACGTATGTGCCATTAGTTTCCCTATGTTCATAAGTGTTTTTTCAAATGAGCCAGAATTTACAGGTCCAAATTGCAAAATGCAGTCCAATTTTCCATTCTGCAGGGCTTTGTCAAGAGTTGCACCAAACCCAGCCTTCACACGACTTAAAACCCAAACTCTTCCGCTTAACAGACTGGCTCAATTTAGGAAGGCCCAAAGTAAATACTTCTTATGACTGGTTTGCTCACGGTATTCAATTGTGAAAATTTTTAAATCACTAACAACCTTTTTAGAATCTTACTCACTGCTGTTGTTTCTAATTAAATGTTGCCGAGGAGATTCCTGGTATGACAGTGCGACCGTAATAGAATCAACCCACGCTTCATGCTATGACTTAACGAGGTGCTGACTACAATCACATAAAATTATTATGACGCATCCATCGTACTATGGCTCATTGATAGAGTCTACTCTGTGGAAGCATGGTGCATCACCTGGCACCAGACTGACGTCATTATTCCCTCGTCGGCAGTCGCATCGCGTCCCCCCTACCCCTCCCACGCTTCCTATCATCCCACCGTCCGTCGCGTGGCGCCGGCGTCGGTTTCAGCGTCGGCCAAATACGGCCTGTTCAGTGTCAAGGCCTCCATTCAGTATGATAAGCATCGCAAATTTCTGGGAATTTTTTACGAGCTGCCACGGGCGGCCATTACTTGAGTTTTCACGTCGTATTTCAAGCGTAATTTCTCGCGTCAAAGTGTGAATACTGATGCTGGAGGAGTTGAATATTAAGTGGAATAGTCATACATTGTTGGAATGCCTTTTACACTCAAGTAGCACATAGTGCAGCAAGAATGTTGAATTATAAGGTTGAGATTTTTCGCGGTAAAATTGCAATATTCTTTAATTATTTGGTCAATGAATGCCGGTTTTAAATGATCAATTAGGTCATTCTGTGCATCAAAAAGATAGGCAATTTGCAACGCAAAGGAAAAATGCATCTCAGGAGCCATCCATATACTACGTATCGCAATTTTTCGGCATTTTTGACACCCTCTCCCCCTTTGACGCTTTTGTGGCGTAGGTCCCCATCCTTTAACACGTAAAAACAAAATGGCGTAACGCTATCTTCGACACCCCCCTCCCCCTAGAGCGTTACGTAATTCATGGATGGTTCCTTATTTCAATTCTATTGCATTACATTTTAAAAAGAAGCGCTCCTTCAATTAGGAGATAGGCAACATACATAACATAAGGCAATAATTCTACCGCGCAATGGTAATTCATTGCTAACTGTGTTACTTGGGAACGTAGATTTATACCTATTTGCAAGTACATGCGTGCATTCTATGTGAATTCACCTGATCATTTTTCTTGAAATATACGTCAGTCATGGTGTAACAAAACGCAGTTTGATCGCAACGTTTCGGAATATACGTATATGTATACTTTACTTTTTACGTAGAGAAATCAACTCGCATTTGCTTTCGAGACCTTTTCCGGAAAGATCTCCAACGTTAGAATCCGATATAAGTGTTTTTGAGCTTCTATAAACGACAAATTGCGCCCAGTTTTCCAATCTGCAATTTATTTATCAAAAATCTTGTCCTCTCTAAAACTATTTCGTTTCTTGGCAGGCGGCCAGGTGCCTGGGTGGACGGAGAAATGCATCACGTGCATCTGCGACGCGTCGTCCGGTTGCAACGAGACGATCGGCTGTCTCCAAGACAACAACGTCAAATACTGCGGAATGTTCCTCATCAGTCACCCCTACTGGAAAGACGCTGGTGAACCGGTCCTTGACTTCGACAATCCGACCCGACCAGGAGGTAAATCAATTTCCCTACACCAACGTTACTATATGGACGTATTTCTGTCAAACGGAACTATGTGCATTAAGACATGAGCCCTGAGACCCATAAGAATACATGCATAACAGTGCTCACGTCATAATGCACATAGTTCCGTTTGACAGAAATACGTCCATATCAACCTGCCGATCTTTAAAGTCGAACATTTCAATATATCCTCTCAAAATTGGATTGCACCCTGCAAAAAGGAACCACAAGCATTCCAATGTCGCTAAGATGGTGCAACTTTTTTTACCTTGCAAATATAAACTGATCATCCAGACCAGTTTTATCTTTTCTCCCAATAAACTATCAATTCAACACAAAAACCACCATACCTACTAAATTACATTTTTTACAAGGTTTCAGTTCTTTTACTGCAAGGAATGTAAGTTACATATGGCAACATTCGAATGCTCTGTGTTCTTTTTTGTAAAATGCGGTCCAATTATCTACGACCGCGTGCCTTCTTGGACAATATTCTTGTACCGAGGAAAAAACCAATGATCGTTAAAAAACACCTCTTAAAACGCTTAAAAACTGCTACAATTAAAGTTTAAGGACAAAATTTGAATATTTATTCGAGTAAAATTTACGTCCAGGAACATTTAAGTACAGAGAGTTGAGAGTTGAGAGCTGAGAGTTGAGTCCATCGACCTTTCTCGTTTAAAGTTCAGCCAAGGCATCTTCCTATCGCACGGAGAAAAACCATCTAATTAATTGATAATATCCTGACGAGAATTCTCGTTGAGTCAAGAGGAAATCTATCCTCGTTTTGAATGTTATTTCTGTTATTTTAAGGAGAAGTCCTGTCTCTTTTAAGATTATTTATACGACTGACTTTTTGGAACTACGCATGAACGATGTTTTCGTGATTTTAATGAATTTTTCATTGTTCTTATCTAGCATTCGAGACGTGCACTTTGGACTCCTATTGCGCATCGAGGACTGTCAATCAATACGTGACACGATTTTTCACGGTATGCTCACCTTAATTTTTACATTTTTCTACATTGCATTTATATCCTAGAAATGTGAGGGATTTAGGAAAGAAAATGTGCGACTTACATTTATTGAAATTTCAATTCGATCTTTGTTGATAAGAACAGCCAATCTTTCAAAATTTCCTGGGAATATTTACGGTGCAATGTTGAATTCAAAGTATTGGATACGAGTCTTTATTCTGAATCTAATAGCCACTTCCGAGCATAGGGAAATCTACAACCATATCAATCCATTATAAATGTGATAATATGCGCCTTCAATTCAATGGTTAGACTCAACAGCACGCGTTGGATAAAACTGAACCAATGCTACTTGAAAGTTTCTGAATACCCCTACTTTTGTCGGCGAGATCATTGTGAAATAGTCACCAAGGTCAGACCTTGATTACGTGAGCAAGATGCTTTTTTCTGAAAAACTGCTTGAGAACAGATCCATGAGTTATTAACTTGGCCCTTGTGATTATGATGGCTCATTGTTTAGAACGTTGTTAGATAATGGCAGGTACTATCTTGAAAACGTCTTGATTTTTTTTTTACTCCAGAGAGGTACGCACTTTCCTTTACACACAGAGAAAAACACCTCGCACGTGAGACCCGAAGTTTAGGTCTTGTGGATCTCTGAAGTTTTCAGATCACTGATCACACTCAAACATCTGAACACTTAAGGTCTAGCTGTCGAGGTTCGGATCACACATCTGGAACTTCAGTTCTTACATCTGAAGTACTTCGGTTTTCACATCCGGAAAACTTCGGTTATCACATCTGAAGTGCTTCAGGTGTGAAAACTGAAGTTTCAGATGTCTGATCTGAAATTCGGCGGCTAGACCTTAAGTGTTCAGATGCTCAATCCGAAATCTTCAGAGATCCATATGACCTAAACTTTGGGTCCCACGCACGAAGTTTTTTTTCTCCGTGAAGAAACAGAGTTTTCTCCTGGAAAATTTTAATCTGACGACTCCCTAAAGTTCGTGAAATTTTTCGCTACTTTAGCTGCATGGGTCTGTTCATTTAATTCATTATTCATAGTTCATTCATTATTTCATCTCCAAGTGTGTTTGACTTTTTCCAGGATTGTAACAGGAACAAGAGGATCGAATGCGATGACCATGCACGCATACACTTTTTCGGGGCTGCTCGATGCACAGCCCCTATCGAAGACACTCTGTACTACAAAGACTTCAGAAGGTGTTGGGATAAGAAAAATTTCCCACCGACTCTTACTACTTAGATTTAAGTCCATAGGTTCTGTATAATTGTTAAAATGTTGAATAAAACTCTTAAATTATTACGAAAAAAGTGAGGTTTTGTCTTACTAGCTTTCAGGTGCAGAGAAATGTAGCATATGAATACAATCATTGAGGAGCTTGGAAGACAAGGCGCATAAGTGCAGGATTTGACAAAATTGAGTTATTGATGATTTCAAGTAAAACTAGTCCCAATGCATATTCTGTGAAAAATTAGCTTACAAATTTCAATTAATAAGCATCAGAAAGTCATTTTAAACCTTCTTGCCGCCATAAGGATCCATGCAATTTCAAAAGTTCAAACACGTATTTCTCGACATAGCAAAAACTGCACTTATACGTCTTGTCTTCCAAGCCCCTAAATTAGACCTAGAATTGTAAAGCACACTAAAGTGTCACGCTCTGCTAAAAAATTTCGAAATTTCCACTCCAATTCAATTTTTTCGAAGAGAGACGAGCCAACCCTGGTAAAAATTGGCGATAAGAGCTGCGGTTCAAAATACCATGGGAATTCTTATAGGCGGCTAAAGAAGGCTACAGAAAATCATATAGCTGGCTGTAAAATGCGGAGAACAACCATACGGCCGGGCTATACGAAGCGATAAAAAATTATGCAGCCGGGCTATAGTTCCTATCGCCGGGCTTTACACTTTATCGCCTGGCTGTTGCTTTTTCGCCATCGATTATAAAAGGCTATAAGAAATTGTGTAGAAATTCGTGTGCTTTGGAAATCATTAAGTTTGATACGGAACCACCTTAATATTTACAAAACACACATTATATTTTCCTTTAGTACATATTCTTTTTCATCAATTAAAATGAGAATAATCCATACAGGATATGCAAAAATTTCAAAATCATGAGTTGAATAACGCTGACTCCACCAGATTAAATATTAGAGCCTGACACAAAGCGGAGCGGCGACGCACTGGCGCCTACAAACCTAACAGGGATACTTCACGCATTACGCAACGCGTGAAGTATCCCTGTTAGGTTTGTAGGCGCCAATGCGCGTTTCGCGCTGGCTGCCCGCCTGCCGCGCCGCAGCGTGCCACGGCGCTTGAAGCAACTATTTCACACCAGAGGTATTGCACAGTATTATGCGAAACAGAAGGCTCTAATATATTAGTAATAGCAGACATCCATCAAAAGTACGAAGCTTTCCTCGCAAAATAAATCAAGATACTACGACCCAAAAAGAGAACAGTATTCCAAAAACTCACCAAGTCCTAGCATCCGTAATTAGTAACGTTTAGCATACACTTTATCGCCTGGCTGTTGCTTAATCGTCATCGGCTATAAAAGGCTATAAAAAAGTGTGTAGCCAGCTATAGAAGCTATTGGAAATCTTACAGCCGGCTGTAGGTCTATGGTATTTTGGAACACAGATTCTACTGCCAATTTTTGCCGGGGAACTAAATAACTTGAAACTTATACAGAATCGTCTGCTAATGGTGTAGAAAAATCAAGACAGTTTTTAAGAAATTACGTTGACTACTTTATCAAAGAAAATATTAAATATGACAGGAAGTCTACAACGTCTCAAACGGAGATGCGTGGTTTCGCACTTTAGCCATAGATTTTGAGATTCACATACGTAGACTAAACTGTTCGATCCATTAGTGAACTTTTCCAATAGAAGTTCGTTCAGTCTTTTCGAACTTCGATCAATTTCAAGCTTTTAACGAGCAAGTTCCCGCTCGTTTGTAACTGGTCCGGTGGAACCAGGTAGTGAGGTCATCCTCCTCACGCCACATAGTGGAGCGAGTCAATGAGAGAGGTCGACATAATGTGGAAACTTTAAAAGCTCACATAGTCCTTAATGCAAGACGTAGAGGTTTAAAAGAGATTCCATTAATTTTTTCGTATTTCTTTTTTATTTTTTATTTTTTCCACACTTTCCTTAGTTTCAATAATCAATACACACGGAACAATGAAAAACCGAAATCAAGATGAACGATCAAGTATGAGGAGAGAGAAAGCGCAAAAATCAAGTTGTCAAAATCAAAAACTACTGAAAGGATTCCACTGAAAGTTATTAATTTTTTTTTGAAGTTTTAAATAGATTTTTTCAATATTTATATGAAAGCAACACATATTCGTAAATATTATCGGAAAGTCCAGACAACATTTGACTCTCTCTTGAAATTACTGCTGATTTACCAAATGATAAGCCAAAAATTTTGAAATCCCGTAACCTCGGTGAAGCAACAGTTTATTTGAATTTTTAACAAGATTCCTTGAATAACGGACTGATTAATCTGATTCCCCTTCCTTTCTCAGCGGACGTCGGAATCGGATACGCGGCAGCATAACGCCTGCACAAAACCATTCGTTCTCTTTAGAAGGTCAAATTGCATACCCTAAAATTGAAGGCGTTTTTGCTCTCTTTGCCATTACGGCGACCCGTCGCGCCGCGCCGCGTTCCGAGTTGCCCAAGAAATGTCATCCTACTTTAATTGAAAAGATTCTTAATGTGTATTTTCAGCGACACTTATTGGGAGATTTTTCATCGCATCAGTTTGATTTCTGTGGTCATCCTGGTAGGGTCCTTACAGTCAACGATGCTTTTTTTTAATTAGTGCAAACATTAGAGAGATTTTTCTTTGAAAAGTCCCAGGTCGGGTCGAATTGACTCGTATTTAAATACAATGATTTCAATAGTTTTTGAAGTATTCTCTATCTTATTTTTATGTCTTTGAAGGCCGAAAATTCTTCTACCAAAACTTGATCACAATTAATGCTTTTTGGTAGCATACTGGCATTTTCTCAGCATCAGCATCATCTGCCAATAAATGTAACTCCTTCAGAAGAGATAGTCATGTCAACTTGGCCCGGCTTGGAATTACTAGGGGTAGTCGTCAAAAAGAAAAGTCCCCTGACACGACAGAACTCTCGCTAAAATACCAATTTTTTAGACTTGCCCTCTTTAAGGCACCTGAGACCTCTAATTCCCCCCCCCCCCAANATGATTGATTTAGACACATTATGGCATATCTTGATCAAACTTAGCCATGACTTTCCTCAACTTTCAAATTAAGAGACACCTTAACAAGCGATGATGACAGCGCAAATACCCTAATTCGTACCTGATGGATGTTCGTGTCACAACTGCAAAATTGATGGCGCGATAGCGGTAGGCGGGAACTTGCAATGCTCCGCTCTGTGCTTTTGCTGAGGTGTCGCTCAGATTCTGCAGAAAATTTGAAAAAATTGGGCCGAATACGTCTCTCTTAACTTTGGCTGTGTTGCTCACGCAGCCCTTAAAGCATCACTACAAATAAGACAAGCGCAACCAACACAACATGGAAATAGAGCGAGGGAAACGACGCGCGTTGATGAAGGCGCAGTGATACAACTATTCGTACTTGATGGATGACCGTGTCGCATCTGCAAAATTGAAGGCGCTATGGCGCGAGGCGTGAACTCGCAATGCTCCGCTCTGCGCTGCCAGTGAAGTGTCGCTCAAATTCGGAAGACAAGTTGAAAAACGAAGTCCAGATGCGTCTCTCCTATTTTCGGCTGTGTTGACACTAGATTTTTTATCTATTACGATGATTGTTTCATTTAGCCACACAGCACCTATAACTTGTGGCTAAACGCAACAATTTTTGTTGCGTGGCGCCACGAGCCGTGGCTAAATAAACAGATACCTATTACGATTTGAAGTCTGATTTATTTTATGATGTATTTTTAGACCTACATGCTCGTATGTACCGGTCCCAAACAACCCGCGGGCCCCGTGTTTTTAGCAAGTCTCGGGTCAGTTTCACCCGGGTTGGGCTTCTAAGGGTTAAATAATAACTGATTCCGAAGTCGGATTTTAAGAGCACAAAAGAGAGATTTTTGCTAGAACTATATGCTACGAATATCCGTCGAAGTTCACATGAAATTCCCCGGACATCAGTGGAAGTCATGCAAAATATTCTGTATGAATCACTTTTAACAAAGGGATGCCGGCTAAGTTTCGATTCATTTCACTTTTCTTCACATGACCCTCGACTTCGCCTCCGACTTGGGCTCCGGTTTCGAACTTTGGTTTCGACTCAGTATTAGACTTCGACTTCGACTTCGAATTCACCTCCACTTCAGGACTTCAGTAATTCAGCAATTTAGCACATTAACTTCGACTGCGACTGCGATTGCAACTTGACTTCAACTTCAACCTCATTCTGAACTTTCAGTTCAACCACAACTTTAACATCAACTGAAACCGCTATTTCAACTTCAACGTCAACTTCAACTTCCCTCAGTACTTTAGAACTTCAGTACTTAAGCATTTCAGCACTTCTAAACTTCACTGCTACTGCAATGACGACAACTGCGACAGCAACTTGAACTTCAACCTTATCCTCAACCTCAACTTCAAGTTCAACTGCAACGATTCAGGGGTGCCTGATTAAGAGATTTCTGAAAAGCGACTGCTGAACTTTGAAAGTGGAGGAGGGGGAGGGCGAAAAACAAATGTTAAGGGAAAATTTTTTTATAAGGTGCATGTAGTTCATTTTCATAAAACACTGCTTCACTTCTGCTCTAAAAAATTTGCCCCCCCCCCGAAGCACTCCTCTTCCGGTAAAGATTTGTAAAGATTCCAACAATATATTTCTTTGGGAAGAGAGGAAAAAGCTCCTCAGACGCCTTTCAGGCGGATGGGAACCAAACCACATGCACAGTCATTCTTCAGAGTAGGCACAGCGCCCTTTTTAAGCCGCCCACGCGCCACGCTCCCTGCGAAAACATTTCTGACTTATAATGCGTAACACATGTATCAAGTCACACGGGCGTGTCAACTCCGATGATCCGAGCGATAAATTTGCTTCCGTAATTATTGCACATAAGTAGTGCAGATTGACGAAACGATGGTCAAGAATCACTATAACTCCACGCTGCGGACGGCAGCGGTGAATCCCTTCGTGCCCCCCGGCTCTGAGCCCCCCCAGCCCCCGGTCCCCTCCCACGCTGGCCGGTTGGCGACGCGTCGCGCGTCACCACCGCACCGGCCGGCGCGGCGCGGCGCGGCGGGGTGCGGCGAGCCGCTCGCAATGTTTTGCTTCTGTAACCTTGCACAGTACTAAATCGAACTGCACCGATCGCGGATCCCCAGTCACGCTCGTCGTCAATTGGTCCATTTTTTTGCACTCGTATCTAGTCGATTTTTCCCCAAGAGAAGATCTTTTAGTGAGTGTTTGTGTTCTGGTGAATGGATGTTTCGGTTAAGTTGCGTTAAGCGCGTTAAGTTGAGTGAATCCGGCGGGAAAATGCAGAACTTAGTGCGTCTAACGCTGATCGCGGCGTGTCTCTGCGCCGCTACCGGCACCCCGCTCCCCGCGCCAGCCCCCGCCGCCAGACGTGCTGACCACAGTGACCAAAGTGAGTGCAACTCAAATTCAATCACTCGTAATTAATAGTTTCGATGTGAGAAATGTTGAGTAACGTATGAAAAAATCATTCAAGATTTTTTAAAAATAATTGCATTCTGGGCAGCGTGTAGCGGTCTCTAGATTGGGGAAACGAGGGTCTCTTCGTTTTTTGTTTAGCAAAACTCTTCACGGCACCAATGCCTCCCCTCCCCCCCCCACACCTTAGTAAGAGTTAGGATTCATTGGAAGTTGGTACATAACACTTTTAATACGGAAAAATCTCCAGAGAAATCGAATATTCAGCATCTTCCTCAGATGTAATTCTGTTCTTTTTCCAATCATTATGCAGGAGTTATCTCACCAATCACTTGAACATAGAAAAATTTCACCACAAAACTTATTATTTTTTTTTTTTTTTTTTTTTTTTTTTTTTTTTTTTTGTGATCAAAAGTCGATATTGATGATTATTATTATGATATACATCACAAGGTATACCTTGTTATCCTTTATGAGATTTAAAATTAATTTGATAACTTTTTCCAATCACCTCCGATGAGTAGATCTCTTTCTTGAAGAAAGTTAAATTTATCAAAAGGGACGGACAAAATTAATCTAAATAGGGCACCTGCCAATTGAAATACAATGGATCAGTTCGTAAAATTATCTGGAGGTGAACCCTGATGCCCCTGTTCGCTGAGGTTTCCACGGATGTCAATAGTTCAACGATTGGTCCTCAGACATGATACTCAACGTATACTGAGCTTCAAAATTTTCGGATGAACTTTCAATCCCACAAAATTAATTATTGCATGCTGAGTGTAACAACGTCCGTATGTCTGTCTCACTTGAGAGGAACAATTTTGGCTCTCGTGACCAAGGGCAAATCTTGAATTTCGATGTCGTCTGNGGGGGGGGGGGGATATGGCGTTGCGGCCGATGATCTCTCGTTGCCATACCAGTAGCTGTACGTCGGAAATGTTATCACATAACATCCGCTTGTCCTATGAAGAATCATACTGGCGCAGGTATTAAGGGAAAACATCCTATGAGCATTAAGGCATTGCCTAGTATCCGCTTATAAAAGTTGAATCTGCTTAAGAATTAATACCTGTTTTTTTCATACTTTTCCACAAAATATTATTGTAAACTTTTATGTAAAGTAAGCTCGAGAAAAAAAATTCCAAGATGTATCTCAAAAACTTTTGGTTTACGTTTCTTGCTGAGAGGTTAGCGATGGCATTGTCTGCTTCATTCCTGAGAAATTTCCTAGCTCTCCCTGTACCAGTTCAATCGATCATACGCGGTCACTTCCACATTTCAAATGGACGAGCGGTGATTTTAGTTTCATGCGAGTGCTGTGATGTCTTGAGCTAACAAAAACAAAAGAGCATAACACTTAAACGAACTGTCAACAAGCGGGCGAACAGTGTCATTCATTCAACGAGCGTGTGTATGATCTTATTACTCTTCACTGTTTCTATCCACTCACGGCACGGCAAATTGACAGAATGCGCGCTTGCCAAACAGGCGACACTCAATCCAATCCCACTTCAAATTAATGAACTATCGTATACTTTTCATAGCACGCATGGAAATATTGCGAATAATTTCGCATGGATAAACTTACTTTTTAGAGAAGAGCCAAATACATTGAAATGTTGCTAAGTTGATGTAACTTTTTTCGTGTAAAAATCAAAAGTTTCTAAGATACGAAACTTTCAGAATTAGTTGTGAAAATCAATTTAGACAAAAAAGCTATTAGGGTGACAAGAAAAATAACAAGAGATAACTAATACTTACATAGCTTTTGCAACATTGCACAAAGCGAGCGACCACAATTTTAAAAAAAACTGGCACTTGAAGAGCATTTTCAAAGTGGAAGAACTATATGGATCGCGAATTCAAGAAAAACACGGATGAAGTTTGCATATTTTGAAATGATCAGTTCGGAACGCTAATACATTGTCTCACTATGCAAATTATGACTTGAAATTTTGATCCAATGATCGTGGGTACATTCGAATGCGGTTGGAATCGAAATGATGGAAGAATTGTATATTTGACTTGAAATAAATTTGTACTTATTTTTTTCATTGAGCTTTTTTCAGTATGAAATATTAATGAATAGAAGTTTGAAACATTCTTATGACACTCCAAAAATTGCTCATGCCTCAGTAACATAATAATGCCTTTACCGGCGCGGTGAATTGATAAAGCAAGCACGAGCACAGAGCGGATATGCGGAGGCGAGAAAAATTAGAGCGCCTTCAGTTCGGTCGGTAGGCAACACGGGCATCCACGGAGCACGAATAGTTGCATTCGAAAGTTTTTACCATCAATGTCGCGTTCGCGTTGCGTTCCTACTTCTTGATTTCACCTCTCTCCCTTTTCAATTGTAGGCAAATCCCCATATCCTCTTTCCTTTAATCTTTCAAAAGAGACTAACATCTAGGTATTTATTAAATATAAAATAGGACAGGAAAAGGCGGGAACGAAGCTGAAAAACACAATTATTTACAAAACACGGGACATCAAGATCGGTCTTCAGGTCATTATCAACCGTCGAAAAAGAAAAAATTGAAAATCTAAAAAAACAAAAGCTAAAAAACAATGTTTATGGTCATGTCAACGAGAAGACAAGGTTATTCCACCCAGTCCTCCCGGAAAAACAAGTGGTATTAAATAGACATGGCAAAACAGCGTTTCAACGAAAAATAAATGGAAAATGCGCAAACTATTCGTATTTACGAGTCGTGCCACTTTCCTTTTCAACGGCTTGATTGATGATGTATATAGACTAAAGACAATTTACCTAACGTTAATTGCTTTACGTGATCAGCCGCTTAACATGAAATCACCTAATTTTGAAAAATTTAAATCTCGAGGGTGAGCGGTTAGGACTCTCCAACATTTTTAAGATTTACTTTTATTATTATGCTGATTGTGAGATGACTATCAAACTAAAATAGCCAATATTTCAATTCTGATGGAAACCCCCCCCCCCCATTTTTCGAGTCCTAAGCCTTTTGGGGCTAAAATGTCCCACTGGCTGATTCCTCCTTTATGTTTAATGATACCTACATTCGCAAAAGTTCTGAAAATATTGATTTGATTATTGGCGTATTACTTACGACGAGCTGGTCGCGGGCGCTAACGTTTCTGCTGGTTCGCTGCCCACAGTGAGGGAAAATGATCGAATCAGTTGCCAGCCTGAACTAAATACTTTGCCTTGAACGAGTGTATTTTCGTTGGCGATCGAGCACGCAAAATTTTAAGTGTGTTTTCGTTTCCAATCGGATTGACTTGGCACAAGTCGATGGACGGTTTCATATTTTGTTTTGAATAAACTCCATCGCGGCGTACCTTTCGCGCGCGCTTATACCTAACGGTGGAAAAATCAGACCCGCGGCAAGAGGCGGTGGAAGCAAAAAAGTGAATATATCTGCAACCCGTGAATCATATTAGAAAAAAGAAGGAGACAACTATGGCTCGTTTTAGAACTGAGAGTGTGATTAGCGCGACACTTTTTACAGCAGTTATGTTGTTTTGCTCTATCTATATGATAACTACAGGGGAAAATGATGGGACTTGTTTATTTGGGCACCCCTGTGAATTTGGTCCCTTCAAAACTGGAAAAATCCCATTCTTAGAGCACAATTAGGGTTTTTATTTGGGATTCCCCCCTTTTTTTCCACCTCGGTTCATTGACTCATATTCTGTTAGGAACCCTCTCAGGCATCCAGACTTCATTTAATGTGCTTAGGTATGACACCAGAGGATAGACGCATCCATGTTCTAGGCTTTCCAACTTTTCAGGGATTAATGCCAAGGAGAATATGTTTCTATGCTTCGTAAATTCCGAGAATATTCGTCGCCGCTTCAGGAATTTGAACCCGGGACCTGATCACCTACTGTCAGACGCGCCGACCAATCGGACCAACGTGACCGGCTAGGTTCATTTTTCTGAGGAAGGCGTCCCTACTGAAATTTCTCCGCGAAGGTGGAAAAAAACACCCTCGATATATTTGAGTAGATGACATGCATTTTTTTGCCGAAGGTCACAGATCTGGAGTAGGTAGCTAAGAAGACAAATACGTGCGCTCGTGACGTGCAAAATTAATGATAATTTGGTGGATGCATAAACACGCGCATGGGCAGTGAGGACGAGACATTGATTTGACGCGCAGACGCGGTGGCGGGGCGCGGGGCAACCATCAGAGAAAATGGAGCGGGAAATCAAAGTCTATGAAATTCGTTGTCAAGGACGAGTAGGTAGGTAGGCGGTAGTGCTTCGAAAAACTTCTGCCGACCCGGACATTGGCTTTTAGAGATCGACAAAAAACATCGGGCACCAACAATGGACAGATTTAAAGACTACGTCATTCGATACTCGCTTTATTCGATAATTCCACCCACAACAAATCGTCGCCCTCCTCACACGAGGACGTAACTACACTCGGCGATGAGCCCTGTCGTCCATATAAATCAATGATTTCCCGGGCTCATCTCTAGGTGTAGTTACGCCCTAATGTCAGCCAAGCGACGAAATGATGGGCAGATCCAGACACTTCGGACAGGAGGCGGCTTTTTTCTTAACCCTATCCACGGGGTGGGGGTGGTGGGCATGGAATACTCCTCAGGTTAAAGGGGGCCCGAGGGGCCTCTCCCAGAGCATTTTCGAAATATGCAGTTGAGTCATTTTCACTGGGAAAAAAAAAACACATTGGATCTAGAGTCCAGACTCTTGGAAACATTGACAAAAAAAAAGGCGACTCTTGATTCAATCAGATTTAAGCTTAAATCAAAAGGAAATCCGCTCAAATTAAGGAGCCTGGTTCTTGTTTAAAGCTCAAATCTGATTGAATCAAGAGTATTTTTTCTTGTCGATGTTTTTAAAAGTCTGGACTCTAGATCCAATGTGTTTTTTTTCCAGTGTTCGTCATGAATATTGGACTGCATTTTGCAATATTGTCATATTCTTTAGCTCATTTCTGGCTCAGTTCAGAAACA